GTACATTAAAATTAGTTTATAATTGCCTTTGACATTTGTATGAAACAATAAAATTTGAAATATTATTAAATAATTAAATTACTCTAACATCTAACCCATAATCTAATATGAAAATTGTGTTATAGACAGTTAATATACATATATTATGTAAATAGATACGGTATTATAATATGGCAAAGGAAAACTGAGATATTGAATAACTATAATTTAATTTTATAGTTATTTGTTATAAAATAAAATTTACATAAATTTAAAGTTTAAAATATCACTAATTTTGGTAATATGTATACAAAAATCATGACCTCTATAGTAGGTCAACATAATACTCCAATATAATGCAAGTATATAGATAAACATTATATACGTATTATTGAATTTCGGTATTCTAATATTATTTTGATTTTACAAGTAAAATTTTAAAAATGAAACTTCAACAACTCTTACTAAATTTTATTTGTACGGATAAGAGTATTTAATAAAAATTTTTAACATGAAATTTCAACTAAAATTTTCCAATTTTCAATTCCAAACTTTTATAAAAACAAGCTCACATACCCACAGGGGCTTTACGCAAATAGTATAAAGGTCTAAATGTTCTTTACAAATGAAACATGCGAAAAACAAGATTTTTTAATTTTTTTCCTGTTATTATTAAAAAATATAACTTAGAGAAATATTACATCATTATTCTACACACCACAAGACGGCATTACAGGCTGCCATACGAAAATAAGTATTCAATGACTCGCTCACACATTATCACGTGAAATGCAGAAATCTTGTTCTGAATGTTATGTTGCAACTCTGGAGTTGTTATTGGCTTATTCATATAGACTATACTTTTGCAAAAAAAGCCCACAGAAAGTATTTTAACGAGCTGAGAATACGTATTGTCGTGATGACTTTAGCCATATGTTAAATATTTCCATTGTGAATGAAATACAGAATGATTTTAGAAATACAAGTGTATTGCCAATATTATTAATTGAATTTCCTGAATAAAACTTACAAAACTGATTGGATTTAATTTAACTTAGCTGACATATAAAGTAGAAAATTATCAGTTCCTCATTATAGACTTTTTTTCCAAAATTCTTTAAAAATTTTCATTCATTTAGAGGTAAATCGTCTTATTTGTATTATATTTGTTAAAAATTATCGTAAAATTTTAGCAAATCATAATAGTGTGATTAAAAATTACTAAAATTTTTTGTTTCTTTTCTGCCACAAATTAATGAATTTATAAATTATCTCTACTTTTAAATAACATAAATAGAGAATTAAAAATTATTTACAGTATACAACTTGTATTTAAGGGAAATTATTAATCCATTTTTAATTTTTGCACTTAATTTAACGTTACCTACCTGAGTTGAGCATTCATTTTTGAACACCAAATTGTTAAAATCATCTGTTGCTAAAATTATTATTATTAATTTAACATTCAACTTAAAATAATATATCAAATCCTCTCATATATATACGAACACATGTTTGGTTTTGTGATATTCAATCTTAAATAATTAAAAGTGTGTTTAAAATCTCTATTTATGACTTTCATTTACAAATTAACCTTTTTAATTACATTTTGATTATAATACTATTACATCCCTTATTTATACAAATACGCAAATTATAATAATATAGAAAAGTACATGTTTTAAAATATATTAACATTATTAAATTAATTTCTTATCGTTAAACAACATATTATTATATTTGTGGAAAGATTAAAATTTAAATTTTAAAATTGTTATTAAAAAGGTTTCTATTAAAACTCTTCCAGCTATATTTATAATATTAGAATACCACAAAAATATGCGGACAATATGTTATTATTTTAACCTTTAAAATGTTATTTATTAAAAGTACTCCATACATATATGGGTATATGTATGAGATAATTGAAAATATTCCATTATAAATAGCTGTTAAACATTCTATCTTTAACATTATTATTTATTATAGCTGTGTATCTTTGTACCATATTCTAGAAACATATAACATAATATTAAATATTATACTAAACCACTAATCTTTTAGCATATTTTCCTCTATTTCGTTAAAATCTTTTGATTTCCAAAACAGGAATTTTATAAAATAAAAGAACACCAAATAAAATTTCCGCAATTACATATTGTGCATATACCAAAAACCATGAAATCACTATAAAAATTTAGGGTTTTTAGGATTCACTATATATAAAATATACTTAATATTAAACCTCAAATATAATTATTTTAATAGCTTTTAACAAGATTATAGTTTGAATAAAGAAATAAGCTTTGATTTTTTAACAAATAGCAGTTAATTTAAGAAGATAGTTTCGACCTTTTTTTTTTGTTAAAATATGAAAAATATTAAGCACATTATAAAATCGTGATTTTTCATTTTCACACATAAAATTTTTATTTATTTTTGCTAAACTATAGAAATTTTTCTATTTTTTAATTTGAAATTAAAATTCGCTAATTGAGAACCAAAAAGCTTATTTCATACATTTGCTAATTATTTTAAATATTAAAAAAACTGGAAGAGATTTCTGATGAGTGACACGAGATTAAAATAAATTTGAAAAATACATGAAAAATTTCTAATGATTACACCATGGCACAATTTAATTTAATATTTAGGAATAATTTTTTTTCCAGAAAAACATTATCAAACTTATTTTGTAAGGATTAAGATACACTTAAAATATACAGATCCTTAAACCTTACAAATTGATTTATTGCCATAAATTTGAAAACTTTCCAAATAAAAGCAAATTCAATAATCACATTTACTTTTTTCTTATATTAGCATTTAATGCATTTTTTAACTTTCTCTTATACATATAATGTAAAAATAAAAATTCTATTTATTTTGTTCTACAAAATACAGAGATATATTATATTCTTTTTATACACATTCATATGTGTGTGTACATTTTTTATAAAATAAATTAAATAGAAATATTATTTCGTTATTCTGTTTTTTTTTTTTTAAATTCAATTCCCATGTTGTGCTCATACATTATCTATGACATGTATATTATTATGTCATCATGTTACATGTATTTGTCAACATAAACAACATACTAAATTTATAATAATAATTTGAAATACAAATTTCTACACACAAGTGTATAGTACTGTACTATTCTATACGTATATATATGTTGTACAAATTACATATTATATTTATATGTAAGGCAATAAGTACATGCTTGTGTACATATTAATATAAATATATATACATATATAAAACCATACGTATATTATTACAACAAGAAAATTCAATTAAACTTTCAATCAACATGAAATTTCATTTTCAATGGTTAAACCACAAAAACCCCAGATACCCAAAAGAAGAAAAAAAAATTAATATTAAAAACAATAAACAAAACAAAAAAAAAAATAACTGTAATGAAATCGTATAGTGGAAAATAGGTGTTAGAAAGAGAAAGAACAATAAAAACAAAAAAAAAGCAAACAAATCTCGATATCAACAAAGAATGGTATAAAATTTGGTTGCTTTTGTATCTTACGTTTTTAGATTAATATTTATGTACACCACATACGAACGTATGTGCTAATATACGAATAAAATATATATATATATCTATAAATTTGTATAAATTTATAACGAACGTGCACACAAGTGTTTATTAGTATGATATGCAACTCATCATTTATAACAAAATATATCAACATTTGGCAAAAAATAATAAAAAATAGCAAAAAATATATAATTTTTTGCGTTGTTGATGGCAACTGTAAGCTATTATATTAATGTTGTTATCATATTAATCAACTTCATTGACTGGTTTCTAATACAAATGGAGACTATACAAATGTATAACAACAAATGTATGTTGTTGCACTGAAATTGAGATTTGAAGAAAAATAGCTCATAGCTAATTTATTAACTCTCAATGGTTAATAAACTTTATGTCACCAAGTCACCGCAAAAATACGAAAAATTCGCTTAAAGGAAATATGAAAACATTAAACAGATGTTTTTGTTTCGCCTTACACTTAGTAGTTTCTCACTAATCCCATTGTAGCATTTCGGCATCTAACTGAGATTCGTAAACAATTTTACGAAAAACACCGCAAATTACATTTTATAATGAAATTTAACTTGCGAATGCATACATAATTTAGGCCACAAAAAATATTATATATAAATTTCCCATTATTAATTACACTTATAATAAGGATTATATCAAAAAATTCAGTGACTTTTTTATATTTCACTAATAAATGTTTTCCCTACCCTAAAAAATTTCCTTAAATTTTCTGTCCTCTAGATTTCAAATTGCATATTTTACTTTTTCAATAAAAGAATTCAATCAGGAACAAAAGCTTCAATTCAAAGATCTTTTACACCATATACTCGCATTTACCTAAAAACCAAAATGGAATTAAAATGTCTGTATGAATACATGAACGAAATAATAATTTTGTTATACCATCAAAAAAAACATATTTTTAAATAACAAAAAATTTGCAAAAAATACAAAATCAACAGAAACCGTAAATAAATTTAATTTAAAAATTTAGATGATGACCCATGACATTCGAAACCATTTAATTAACCTCTAATGAAATTGGACCACATAATATTATTAATTTTATTATTTTTGTAATCTCAATGGAACTCAGAAATTTTGTTTATCACATTTATAAAAAAAAAAACATTTTGTATTATTGGAAAATTTTCAACGAAAATTGGCTGCTTGTTATTAAATTATGTGATTGATTTTGAATTGGTGAAAATTTTATTACCATATTAAAACCTTCTAGTACGAGATTTTCCAAACCAAAACCAAATATATTAGAAAATATATTTTACTTTGAATTTTGCTGAATTTGAATCAAAAATCTTTAAATATCTTTTATAAATTTGAAAATTTCCTTATATTTTAAAAATAATTTTAAAATTTTATTCTTGTTTCATTTCCATTTTTTTTTTCAATTTCAACAAAACAACATACAAATATTAATTATTCAAAGATATTCACCGATGACACAACGTTCAATAATGACATTTGAAGTGGCTGGTGTAAGAATTGGTAGCACAGATTATTTTTGTAATCAATTTATATGCAATGTTGAATTAAAACATTTAACACGTGACTCATCTGGAGCATATCGTTGTGAAGTATCTGGTGATGCACCTGAATTTAAATTAGTTGGTCAACAAGCAAATATGACTGTTGGAGGTTTGTATTTGATTTATACTTCACATTTTAATCAAAAAGAATTAAAAAAAAAAATTAAAAACAAAATAAAATTAAATACGAAAACTATTTTTTTAATTTTCACTTTTCACTTTTAATATAGTTTTTCCACAGTATAGTCCTACAATTAGTAATATTGGTAGATTTTATCGATTTGGTGAACAAATATCAGCAAATTGTACAACAGATTGGTCATCACCTGGTGCCACATTAACATGGTTTATAAATGATGAACAGGTACTCACATACATATATGATATTTAATTGAAAATCCGAAATAAACAATAAAAATGTATAAAAAATCAGTGTGGAAAATTTAAGATTAAATTCAACAAATTGAAAAGGAAAAAATTTAATTAATTTTTCATTAAATAAATTTTGACTTTTAAATACAAAGTTAAAATAGATCATGTATTTATGGAGTTGACATAGCACGTACACTATTCTTTAGAAGTCAATTTAAAACAAGATCAATAACCATTGTTCTCTAGCACGGCTTTTAATTTTAATGATAGTACGGCATATTAAATATATGTTTTTTAATTATCTTACCCAAATATTATTGAACAATACAGAAATTTCATTACTTCAGATTTAATATGTTTACTTAATTTTAAAATAAAAATCAATCAAGGCAAGAACAAGTGATTTCATCTGAAATTTCAAGGAAAACATGTTAATAATAGCGCATTTTTAAAATATTCCATATAATCATTATGTTATTGTACTTCATACAGATTATTATTTATTAATTTCACTAATATAAACACAATAAAAAATTTATATTGAAAAACAATAAATCCAGTTTTATCAAATTGCAACACTAAAATAGTCAATTTTTCAAAATTCAAATCAAAAAAATTGCTTCATTCGCAATAAATAACATTTTCAATATACCATGTAAATAAGCATATAAAATAAATGGTTCATTTCCATATAATTTCAAAAGTTAATATGGAAAAGGTCAACAAAAAACCTCCATTTCATTTCTTATCATTTTTGAATTTTAAGAAATTAAATAGTTTCCAAGCATAATACGAGGAAAACACTTGCACCCCTAAAAGTATGCTTCATTTTGTACGAAAAGTGCAAAAATTATTCATTAATAATTGGAGAAATCAATCGAATACATTGAAAATTATTGTTTATTGAGTAACAGAAAAGGTTACAAATTAGCAATTAGAACATGAATTAAACGAAATGGTTAATAACTATATTATGTTTCTTAAGATATTCGATCCTCTTTCATAAATAATACATTTTTTAACACAATTATTTTGTATTTCTTAAAAATTCACCAGCTTCTTCTCAATTTGGCTATTGTTTCTTCAAATGGTTTACGAATTAATCATTTCAAATTCATTTGAAAATTAAATCTACTAACAGAAATTTTTTAGTAAATTCAAAAAATTTTCTAACATTACATTACAATGAAATTAAGGCTGTTATTCAACTATACAATTAATTTACATCTAAGTGATTACACAAATTATAGCGAAGCAATAGAAAATTGCATAAAAGAGTACTACTCAATTTTAATTTTATTCAGCCATTTAAAACGCTATCAATTGAAAAAAAAAATTTCAATTATGACACAAATGTTTGTACTTTGAATTTTTCCAGCCCTGTAATACTTTTTACACGAAAAGAACTGAACAATTCGAACCATGTGCGAATCACTATATTGAAACTACAAAACTATTCACTATAGTAATCAATTTTCTTATATTTGATATTTTTTTATTCGAAAATACTTAGTTCCTAAACATATAACACAATTTAGCTCATATATCAACATTTCAATTTTTAAAAAATTTCATCTAATTTATAAATTCGAAATATTTACATAACATTCATATTCTCTTGAATTCCAAGGATATAAATGAGTATTTTCCAAATATACACGTACAAACAAAAATTCTCCCCGTTATAAAGCAAATACAGTTGTAAAGCTATTTCACGTAGAAATGTGTATGTAATATATATGTATGTATATGCACAAAATAGAACACATTTATTCGTAAAATTTTACTTAAATTTGTTAACAGAAAAAAAAAATCGAAAAGTCTTTAATCGAAAAATTTCAAGTAGTGTTCCAAATCACTTGTAAATTTTATCAAGAGGAATAAATCAAATCATGCTACCAATCTACATTTGTACTTGTATATATCGAATTATATATATTGAATGGGATGTTTTTCATCTACATATATTGCAGATTTTTTATATTATAGATTTATTTATATAGATTTTTATATAACATTCAAAAGATTTTTAAAATCGCTTCAAAATATTCGATTTCAAATTCCAAAATGAAAAGTTTTTATACATAAATATACAAATAAGAAATTTACATATCTGAAAAAATTTCATGCATTCGTATACTCTAAATTCAATATCAAAATCCTTGTATTTCTACATACATATACAGTATACATATAGTTGTACATTAAACTGAGAGAAATTTGTGAAACAGCATATATAATACATGTATATTATAGGGTGGTTCATATTATAAAATTTTCTATTTTGAAAACTTTTGCACTTTCTTCAAATTTGCATTTAAATTCAAAATTGTCATAACAAAAACTAAAAATATAAATTCACTTTCATAGTGTTACAACGGCACTATATCATAAACATTCCCAATCATTCCAATATAAATTATTGCCTATAGGCTAAGCAAGTAAAACTTTACCAATAATATTTGTATGTGATGCAATGATGCTTCATTTCTATTAGAGTAAAAGTTAAATAAATTGTTCAATTAAAGGGTTCTTTAGGTTAGTGGAATTTTATTTTATTTTTTTTACTTAATTTTATTTTGCATTGGTTTTCCCTATAAGAACAAATCATATTTGTTTGCTTTAGTTAGTGATTTCCATTAATTTATCAACAATATTAGGACCATTAGTTGACTTAGAAATCAAAAGAAGTAGAGTATTGCACTTTTCATTGGGTGATACACGAATTATGGTATCATCAAATAATATTAAGTATAGTTTATTGGGTCATAAATTTGAAATTGTAAATTTCCAATAAAATTTATTTGGCATATAAAGATTCTCATAAAGAAAATAAATTCATTTGGAACAGTTTTAAATCAAAAACTCATACAGCCCCTAACTTAGTGATAAGGGTATGAAATACAGGAAATAAAGGGGGAATGAAAACGAGTCAAAATATTTACAATCTAAACTTTTAACATTTTATAATTAACAGGAAATTAGGATACTTTTAAAGGAAAATTGAAAATTTATTATCTTTAGACCTCTAGAAAATTTGTACTTTAACATGAAATTCCCCATTTAATATTTAAAGTAAATCATTTTATTGGATAACCCTATAATATTTTTAAAATACAATCTCTACTTTATTTAAGTCTTTTGAATCAAATACTTTTATACTAAAACTTGTATTACACTTTTACATTTTGTTATTTGATACAAAAAAATCCTGAAAGCTTTTTATTTGAAATTTTAAATAAGAGTATAGGAACCATACAAAATTTTTTCTTGAATTCCAAATTCAACAATATTTTTAAGCTGTCCATCATTTCGAAAATTTTAAATTCATTTGTATGTAAAATACACATTAAACTACTGTACTATAATATAACAGCAGAGTCTAACATGCTGCTACATTATTTGCACATATGGTATAATAATTAAACCGGAATGATTTTTAATTTCTTTAAAAATATGAGAATTTTTGAAATAGATTTTAATTCATAAGAAAAAAATTGGAAAAGAAATAAATTGTGAATTAATTTTGGAAAATACAAAGATTTTAATCCCAACATAAATTCAGGTTACTTTTATCAAGTGATATTTATTAATTGAATTAATCTCTAAAATTTGAATGTAATAAAAATATTTTTGTATTAATTTAAATATTTTTATAAAACTTATATTAATATAGGCACCACAGGAATTTCTTCAACAACAGCATGAAATATCAAGTAATAATGATGGTTTTACAGTTTATTCAAGAAGTCTTGAAATTCGATTTTATATTGATAATTTAAATTATATTTTACCAAATGGTAAATTACATTTACGTTGTATATCTGATATAATGAGAGTTCCAGCATTACGTAGAGAAGTAATTGTTAAAACATCTATACTATCAAAAAATGATTTAAATAATGAAAAATTAGTGAATGGTAAAGATTGTGGAAATGGTAAGTAAAATATCATAGCAAATGCACTTACATATACATACATATAGCACTATTTTATAGTTTTATCATCAGGACAAACATACCATATTACGCATTCATACATACATGCGTATATTATTTTATATTAAAAGTAATTGAATCCTTCTTAACATGATTTTATGGTCCAATTTTACAAATTAATTCAATTTTTAATCAAAAATAATCGAATTATTAAAGAAATTGGTTTCATGTTTTTTTATATTTTTTGGGAAATAAATGAGGCAATCAAAAAATTTTCAATTCATTTTTTAAATTCACATAACGACGTATGATTTCTTTTCAGAGGCATATTTCAATTACTTTTCATTCCAAATGATTTATAATGAAAATTTGCTAATTAAAAAACTAATGGTTTGTAAATTTTACAAATTATATGAATAGTTTTTAATGAAATTGAACATTTATCGATTCAAAGTTTTTGTATTTAAATAAGTTGATTTTTTTTTTGTGTTCTAAAATTTCAATAAAATGATGATTTTCATATAATATTTTGTGTAGCTTTATATAGACGAATGCATTCAATTTCTGATGAAAACCAATAAATTATTATTATTTATAAATTTTAAGAAGAGAACTTAAAAATTTACATGTTTGTTGAAAAATTCACATATTTCGGTCTAGAAGAATTAACACACAGTTAAACTTCGCTTGATAAAATTTCTTAAATAAAATGTGTAATTTCTTAATCGAACCAAAAATAATTAATTTACAAGGTAGGCTTACCATGCGAACTGAATAATGTTTTCATTTTAAATTTTAAAAAAATTATTTCGGAATATTTGTTTTAATCATTTAAAATCTTAAACTAACACAACATTGAACTTATCATTTATGTAAAGTTAACAAGCATTTTCAACAATTATTAGTCTAATTGTAATAATTTTGCTTATCGTCGGCTGAGTTCTAATTTGCTCCATACGCCACCAACACGTTCTCGAGAAATTTGAAAAAGAAAGTTTAAACCTTAATTAAAAAAAAATTTTCGGACGATTTTATTCAAATCTTGGTTTATTAATTATTTGGCAGTTTGATTTATTAATTATTTATGTACAACGTACTAAAGCTTCATCTTTCCAAGTCTAAATTTTTTGGAGAAATTCAATTAATCAGATTTCATTCAATTAATCAGATAAAAAATATCATAAAAATTTATTATTATTATACTTTTTAATACATTTTAAATGCACTTGAAGCAAGTAAAACTTTAACCTTTAAATTTTAAATTTTGCTCTATTTTCATAAACAATATATATGCTAAATGCAATTTTAGACCATTTTACTATACCCATGCCAAAAAAATATTTTAAAATATGGTTTATGGAGCAAAAACGGCACCGATTATTTTACACAGTAAGGAAGATAGGAAAAAACGGGTTACGTCACGTGAAAGATCACCCATCAAAACCTATAAAACCACTCTTAAGTCAAAATTTTCAAAAATGGTGGTTGGAACAGAATAGAATTCAGCCGACGTTACTTATATTAAAAGGCACTGAGAATAACGTTTGCATTTCTCTCATACCACAAGTATGCGCACATAAATATTTGACCGTCTTGAATACAAAAATCAAATTTCAAACACGATTTTCGGAAATTTTAAGTAATTTATTCATTTTTACTTATAATTTTTTAATTTATTTTCAAAATTTTAAATTAAAAATCACAAATAATTTAATTATTGTAATTAAATTTATTTTACAGACCTAATATCAAGAACATTCTTCAAAAATATTTTAATTTTATTATCAATATCAATACAAATTATTAATTTTAATACAAGATAGTTATTTTAAAAAATATATATATATATATATATATATATATTCTTATATAATATATTTTAATATTAATAATTGTATAATAAATAAAATTAACAAAATAATAAAATATCAAAAAAAATATGAAATAGAAATTATTAAATATATAGAAAAACACATAAAAAGGAAGATATCAAAATGAAAAGAAGAAAATAAAATTAAAATCATGGCTGTAGTCGTAATAAGTGAAAACATGACAGATTTATAAAATAACTAAGTTATATAATTATACATATATATATATTATATAAAAAAACACAAAATGTATATTTCTATACTTAAATAATTAATATATAAGTTTAAAATTATTAATATATAATTATATAATAGTAATATAATAAATTTAAGATAAAATATTTAATAATAATAATAACAATAGTAAATATAAATAAATTAATGGAAATAAAATAAAAAAAATACAATGTTATATATATAATAAAGAAAAAAGAAATTTTCCAAAACGAACTAAGAAAAACAAAAAAATAAAATTTAATTATTTTAATTAGGTAAAAAAAAATATAAAATAAAAAAATCTTTATACATAACTATATTTTATTTATTTTGTATATTTTAATAATGCAGAATTAAATTTAACTATGCATTTAAAATCAATTTTATTCAATTAAATTATAATTTAAATAATTATAATATAAGCAATATTAAAAAATATATTTATGTAGCATAAAAAATTTATGTGTAATTTAAAATTGTTAATTTATTTTTAATAAAAATCACTGTAAATTTTAAATGGAATTGAAAATGATTTAATTTCATAGATGTATAAAATTTTCTAACAAATTTTCTCCCAAATCTTCATTTCAAAAATTTTGGTTTTATGGTTTATGTACAATAAGTTTTAAGCGTCATATGTCACTACATTATACTCGATTACACATTGAATGAGTTTTTTAATGTGCATTTAGAATGTTATCTCGGCTATTAATTTAATTATATTTATAATTTCTATAAGAATTTCCATTAATTAATATTAATTCCATTAAACTTTTTTAATAATAATTTTGTATTCAATATTTCAAAATAAATCTTTGTTAAAAAATATTAAATGCAAAAAAAAATATTCTTATATTATAGGTTTGTTACGATTTTAATACTTATACAATATGAAAAAGGATTGTGATTTGTGATATTATTAAGAGGACGAGAAACAAAAAAATTTAATTCTATTGAGAGAGATATTTTTAGTTCCTTCTATTCTATGTCCTTCATGTTTTTGACAATAATTTATATTATATTTTAAATGTCATATATGAGCTGATACAGTTAAAATCATATATGAGCTGAATTTGTTGAAAGTGGTATAAGCCCATTTTTTCATATATTGAGATATTTAAGGGTTTGCGTTTGAATTAATGTAAAAATATTTGTCATGATAACATAATTAGAACTCTGTTGAAATTAGGATTGTAACTGTGAAGAGAAGGTGTCTATAGGTCATCTAAATTATCATTAACTAGGTCTTTTTAAAATGTAGACGGTCGCCTATTAACGTACTAACTATTCTTTTTGTGAAACAGAATAATATGACATTTTAGTGTTGCCATAATATGCTAAAATGAACTATATTAAAATATTGTAAAACGCCCACCTGGTGGTTACATTTTTTATATATTTTTAAATTAAAAATATCCGCTACATTAATATAAGTTAAATAATTGAATTCTAACTAATTATCGCCTTAAACAACAACATTTAAACAAATTAATAAAAAATTCTATAATATTAAAAATTAATAAATACGGAAAATATTTATGTTTCATCACAATTTATTTTACGCCATAATTAAAGTTTTTAGGATTGTATTCCTTACAGAACTCAGGAAGATTTAAATTAACTAAATATTTGAAGAAGAATAACATCTTGAAAAATATATTGATTTAATGTGCCCGTAAGTAAAAATTTTTAAAAGCAATTTAAATTATAAAAAATTTATTTTATTCAATCATACGCTTCACTTAAATTTACATCATATAAAGTGGGTCAACATCATAACATAACCCTAAAGGATTATTATTTGAAATTAAAATTTTAAAATATAAAAGAATGAAAATCGGATGATGAAACAAAAAATTTATCAGAAAAAATCAATTACATAAAAATATTTAAGAATTTTTTCAAAAAATTATATTTTAATCTTAATTTTTTAGTTTAAATAAATCCAACACAATTCTATTTTGAAATTTTGCACATAAAGAATTAAAAATTTTAATGGAAAAAGCATTTATTTTTGACTAAAATATTTTATTAAAAAGTTGCTTTTTTATATTTAATTACCAATATAAAATTTAATGAGTCGGTTTTTAATTATAATTTATTTTTGAATTGTGGCACACTCGTACATAATGCATTAAAATATTTTAATATTATACGAAAAACAAAAAAAAAAATTCAAATGAAATATGCTGAAAATTTTTGCTTCAACGAACAAATTTTTTCCCAGCAACAACATTTTTTTCTTCCTCGTTTTCCTTTTAATAATTTTAATTATAATAAAATCATTATTATATAACAAAAATGAACAATAAACTGCAGCTGTTGAATAATTTTATAGCGTATAATGCATTCTTTTAAAAATGTGGTAAAAATAATTATGTATAATGAACATTTTATGCAAAATTAATGTACAATTCCGCAAAAAGAAAAAAAAAGAAAAATTTTTTTTTTAAACAAAACTTTAAAGAAAAAGAAAATATAAGTTTCACTTCACTTTTTTAAACAAAGACAAAAAAAAAACGAATGCAAAAGAAAAAACCTCAATAAACAGCTTTAAAATAATTTTTCATCCTTCATTAATTCTCATAATTTTATAATTATTAAACATTAAAATTAACCTTAAGGGAAATAAAAGAGCAGAAATTTATACAAACTTTAAATAAAGAAAATGTAAAAAGGAAAAACAAAAAATAAATTATCCTTAAAATAAATTTTTTTTTTTGCAACAAAATAAGAAAAACGACAAAAGAAAAAATATCATGATTTTTTTCTCTTTAAATTTTTTCCTCTTCTCGCTCTATAAATAAAAAATTTCATCCTTAAAAAATTCTTCATCTCCAAAATTCACATTCAAATCTGTTTAAATTTTTCATCTTCTGTTCCTAATAACCAAAATATAATAATTATTCATTAAAACTGTTTTAATTTATTTTACGTAAGTAAAAAACAAGTAGTAAAACCAAAAACAAAACAAAGACGAAATTTCTTATTCCCTTGCTCTTAAGATTGCAAAAAAAAAACAAGAAAACAAGAAAAACCAATTTTGGTCTTCTCTACCTTCATTTAATTTCTGTTTATACTTTACTAAACAGATGGAAGTTAAATTCATTTATAATAAGAGAAAACAAAAATAATATTTAAAAATTATTCAAAATCTTTCAATTACGAAAAAATTAAATCAAAGCAAGACAAACCTTAATAGTTAAGTTTCCGAGCTGTAGGATGATTCAATGCGGTCTTATTGCTAACTGAAATTATCCTTGAAAAATTATTAAAAAAATTTAACCTGTTTATTACTACTGAAATTCAAGTAATTTTAATAATTAAAATAAATGACCAGCTTTTAATTCTTTAATTTTAAATTTAATTATTTGTGAGAAAATATTTATTTGGCATTAAAAGAAAGTACACAATTCCTTAAAACGTGATTTACAACTAAATGTCCTTTTCTTCGTATACCAACATAAAATTCGTATATTTGTGAAAATAGCATCATAAACGAGGCAACAATTTTATTACATTCTTTAAACCAAAAAACCAAAGCTATTAGATAAATGAAAGAAAAGAAAGCTAAACGCACAAATGATTACTTAAAAATAAATTTTCTTCCTCAATATGTTTGGTATGAAGAGAAAAATCAGGTACAAATTTTTTGTATTCATTTTATAAGCCACTAAGGATAATCAAGAACAACAACAACTACAAACAAATATTACAAGTTCTTTTCTTGGGCTGCATGTACAACACATACACAAGCACACTTTTGAAAATTTTACAATATAGGTGAACAAAAAACAAAAAATGAAAATTATGATAACGCAGTACCCATCAAAATTTTCTATTTCCGTTTCCTTTATCCGCCATTCCTTCTCATTTATTTTCTTATTATGATTTTTTTCCAAACGAACGAAATAAACGCATATACAAACAAACGTATTATATATATACATATTTAAATAAACTAAGGGTAAAATAAAAATCACTTGACTTAAAGCCATTGCCTTTAAGGTTATGAGAAGGTTTTGATTGAAATTATTCGCATTTGATTAATCAAAAGAAGATAAAGTATAAAAAAATAAAACAAAACAGAAAATTATAATAATAATAAAATAAAATAAGAAAAAAAAATTTTAATAATAAAACAACAGTAAAATTACAAAAAAAAAAGAAAATTCTAAAATTAATTCAAAAATGACGAGGATTAATTTGTCAAGACGACGACAAAACATGTACAACAACAGTGAAACCATCAAAATTTAATCTTCCTGGATCAAAACAAAAAAACAAAAAAAAACAAAGAAAAAATCTCAGTTTCTTGTATTTTTTTTTATTTCTTGTGATTTTCCAGCTTTTTTCTTTTCTTACTTCTCCCACTTCAATTTCATAGAAAATATTAATAATAAAAAGAAAAAATGAAAATAAGAAAAAATTTATTTAAGAAAAAAAAAATGAAATTTTAAAGAAATACAAAAATTTTAGAACGGGAAATAAAAACGGTAGGAAATTAAAAGGAAAATGAGAGGAAAATAGAGGAAAATAGAGAATTACAAAAGAAAATATTGGAATAATAAATCAGAAATTTTGTCTTTGTTTCTTTATTTTTTTTTTTTTGAATTCTCATTGCTTGTTTTTTTTGTAAATTATTCAGTTGAAACAAATATATTTTAATTTTCGTTAAACGTTTATAATAGTTTTGGGAAAATCAATAAATATTATAATTTTTTTTTATGCTTGTGTAAACACCATTAAAAATTTAAATGGAATAATATGGAATTTTCAAGAATTGAACCGTATTCAACTTGTTCTAGTACATTTAAGATGAAAACTATTCTACATCTATATCAAATCAATATATTAAAGAAAAGAAGCGAATTTGTTCTTAAAATTTCTTAACAAAACCGCAATTTTCAATTTCTTTTCATATCTTTTATTCAAACCATTAATAAACTCTGTATTTAATTAAACTAACGATATTACCGTATTTTGGAACTGGAGACTTAGTATCCGCTTTACAGTTTCAAATTTATAAAAATCATTCTTCCGTTGCACAAATATTTTTTTTTTATTTAATATATAAATCCAAAATTTAAATGCATGTGACTT